TCTACTTCCATTTGTCTCTTGCTAATTCTGCAATTCTCCAAAAACGTTCAGTTCATCGAAGTCTCAATTTACTGTCTGTGTTTACAGCACAGAAGCAAAACCCTAAAGTTGGGGAGCTCTGGCAGCAGGCACTGCGTAGGACTGGCCTGGCTGCACAGAGAGGTGCTTCCTCGTGGAGGGATGGGATGGGACGGGACGGGACGTGCCACTGCGAGTAACGATAACCCGGGGTTTTGAAAGGAGCATCTGCACAGCAAGGTTCTCTGGCTTGAGTTAGAGCTGGGGCAGTCTAGCCCATAATGAGCACATAAGTTAAATCATATCTTTAGGTTTAATGCAATTACTCCTGATTTACATTGCTCCAGTTGCTCCAGAGCAGTAAGCACCCTTTTCCTACAGCACAGCAATACAGCTGCGGCGGAAGTGGATTAAGTATTAGAGTAACTCTTTTATTAGAAGCCATCATTGATTTAATTCATCTGAGGCAAATAACTGGATGAAATAATTAGCTGCAGTTTAACCATCTTGTATCTGAATGTGATGTCTGACTCCAGTAGACCAAAAATGATCATTTAGTTTGCTATCTTCCAAAAATCTGTTAAAAAAATTATAGAAAAAAAAAATAAACCATCTACTTTCACATGCTATTGAGGAAAAAATTACAAAGACGTTTACAGAATTTTCTACATATACATTTATGCCTGGCACAGAGGTTATATCACCTTCGGAAATGAAATATTTGTACAGCTGCTGTAATAACCTTGCCTCTCTTGAGTGACAAAAGGAAGCAAAACCAGAAGTCAAAGCTTAGCTTAGTGCAAGTATGAAAATAAAATGTGACTCATACACTAAATAGGATAAAATTTTAATACCCTATTTGGTAGTTGTATTTCATGAATGGTGACTATTTGATTCTCTTTACAAGCATTTCTGAATTGTTACATGCAGTGTGTCTCTTACAAATCCTTTCATAGACTCTCAAGTAGTGCTGACTCTTCCTTTAGAGAGACATCGTTGTGCAGTGTTGTTTGAAATGAGGCCAGAGAGGAGATTTCCATGCCTAATGCAGTTTCTCTTTGTGATCATCCCTTAGCAAAGACAATTCACACCAGGATAAAGAATATATACCTATACTGCAGAGGACAGTATGTGTATTAGGAACCTCCCATAATTCAGGAGGCTTAATGCAGAGAAGAGAGGGAATAGGTAATAAGGATCTTCATCTACAAATTCATGCCTGCCTTGACACAGTCCAAAGCAAGGACACAGCAGCAGACAGAGGTGTCTTTTTCTTTCTCTTGGTTTTGGCAAGAGCATTGTCCATGACTTTCTGGCAGCGCTGTATTACTCATTCTAGCAGTGTTTCTTCAGAAAATTTGGGAGAAGAGGGGTTGTGATGACACTGTCTACCTCTCTGCTCCATTACCTGTCCTTGCCACCTCGGACCTTGTTAAGTCTGTTCACAAAATTCAGAGAAATTTGAAAGTGAAATTACAATTGCAAAGGTAGTGTTCCTGTAATTTTTGAAAGGCTCCAATATAAACTCAGCCTTTAGAAGAGACCAGAGGATGTAATTCAGGTTCATTTGCCCCAGCCACGAGAGAATTTTTGGAGCTTAGACCTTACTGGGGTGTGCAAGTCCACTCCCTGGAGGCACAGCTGTGTGGAAAATCATGCTTCTCTTTGTAGAGTTGCTTGTGTCTTACTACAGCTGAATTTTATCTTTAGTTTTAAGATGAAACTGGTCTTTCTGTACATGTTTTGTTGGAACTTATCAGTCATGTTAAAGAAAGATAAATAAGAAGGAAAACTGCTTGAATTCATCACTCCCAAGACCTTCAGTTTATAACTGTGAAATGACCAGAGGAAAGAACATTTCACCATATTGTAAGTTATGGTAAAAGCTGCCACAGCGAATGACAAGGTGCAGTTCCTATAATAAAATGCATTCTGTGGGAAGGTAAGCTGAAGTGAGTAATACGTCATCTGCCTTGAATGGGTATGGTGATAAATAAAAGTGATTTTCTTCTTAAAAACACTAACAAGCATTTCATTCCAAATACAAATGGAAGGCACAGAGTGGACTGCTCTTACCAAAGTGTCAAAAAAGCTGCAGAGAGGCCCAGAGGCTGTGTGTGCAAGGTCAGTAAAGTACAGGAAGGGAATTGTACCGAGGGAACTTTCAGAAAATTTGTGGTTGGTATCTGCCGTCAGGACTATTGGATATCCAGAGTAGGCATAATGACTCAGGATACAGGAGGAATATTTTCCAAAGTAGAGAAAATAAATTATCCAAGCATCATTAAAACTGTTTCTAAACACTCAGCAGTAGTGTGGCAAGAGCAAATGAAGATGGCACAGGCAATGGAAACTGGGAATTTAAGAATGGAAGTAACTGATCATGTATCAGGAAGCACTAAGACATGCCAGAGTGAGTGGAGCTGGTTTCCTGCAGTTTAGCATCCAGGTTAATTGAAATTTCAGCTGAAGCTTTCTTTATGGTTGGAGTATTTCTAAAGCCTGTGCTTTGCATTCACTAGTTTCTAACGAAGAGGGAACTCTGCTGCAGCCTGCCGTGATCAGTCTCCTCTGATCAGCTGCTCATTTTCGTAAAACTTGTGGGAACTTAATAGCTGTGACGCTGTCAGATTGAGATGAAAATGATCATTTTGTCAAAAGGAATTGAGGGATGGGGAGTGAAAGAGAGAGACCTGTGTACACATATACCCACAGAGAGTGTGGTCATATGTCTCCTGAGGAAGCCAGGCTAAAAAATAAAGTTCCAAGCAAGGATGAATGTTGCTTCTTTGTCTCCTTATCTCTTGACTGTACTTCTGACCAGGCTCACACTGTTAAGATTTAGAATGCCGAGCTTAATTTAAAGTTGACTTGCAGGGGCAGAGGTGACTGTGATTTGTAAATAGAAGGAAATGAGCCCTGGCCTTTAGCTGGCACAGCACAGATTAACAATCAATAGTCCAGCAGGAGAGATAAATCACAAAAGCCAAGTCAAATCCTGTACAGTTAAAGGCCAGATGGATGGTCCTGATCCAGGACTGTGCCTTGTGTGGAAGTCAGGGTAGATGCTCCTCTTCTGCAAATTCCTGACGTGAGGGTTGGCAGTTGGTCCTGATAAATACTGCAGAGCCCTCAACAGAGAGGCAGCTGCCATGTGGAAGGGAGAGCGGAGAGGCAGAGGCTCCTGCTCAGGCTGCGTAGGAGGAGCATGGCTTTACGACAGGTCCTGCACGGGGCGCCTGGGGTTGACTGGAAGACCCAGCCTGTTGTGGGGCATAAGCATTCCCAGCGCCACGCAGGGCAGCTTGGAAATCGGAAGGGAAGGAGGGGTTGCTCAGGTACGTTGTCATTGCCCTTAGCTCTGACCTGGGTATTGTGGGCTCTTGTCACACGATGCAGCCGCGTGTTCTCTTCCACCGCCTGCCCCGCCTGGGCTCCTGGGCCCCTGAGAACCTCTGCCCTGGGCCCTGGAGACCCGCTGCCCTGGGCCCTGGCAGGACGGAGCACACCCGAGTGCTCCAGTGCGTGGCTTTTATATGTATATATTTATTCCAGTGCATTTCAGAGTGGGTAGAGTTGAGCGAGGATCAGGTTGTTAATAACAAGATTTCTAACTGAGTGGATTTGTAATGTTACCCAGACAAGCAAGTTACAATATTGCCCCTAATCAGAAACTGTTTGTCCTGCATCCCCATTGTGTATTTGAACTCGATTTGGTGCCAAAAAGAAAAGAGAGGCAGAGTCCTCCGAGAATCACGGCATGGTTTGGGTTGGAAGGGACTTTAAAGCTCATCCAGTTCCCACTCTCCTGCCAGGGGCAGGGACACCTTCCACTAGCCCAGGCTGCTCAGAGAAGGTTGCATCAAGCCTCTCTGCCCACTTAACATCGGAGTGCTGGGAATTTTGTCAGCTGATAAGTTTCACTGGTATTGCACTTTCTTAAAACGTTCACAACCTGCGGAAACGCGCTAGGCTGTGATTCCATCCGTGTATTCAGCTGGAGCAGAGAGTCAGCGTTTGATGTGGCTCAGATTTGAATCCTGCGGGGAATGAAAGTTTTATAAACCCCAGACTGAGTTGAGATACCGTGTAGGCAGGCAGCACCTGGCTAACGTGCGTGGCCATGAATGCCATGCATGTCGGGTTGTGACTGTGTAACTATACGGGTAGTGTCCGTGTGAGTGTGCACACACACAGGCACACTTGCGGTGGGAGTAGGAATACAAAAAGGCAGAGCAGACACACCCCTTCTGCTTCGTCTTCATAAAAGGCTCCTGCAGCTTTTCCCCACGCTAAGCTTGGAGTGCAGAAGCGCGAAAGAATAAAAGCAGCACTCCAGCTCGTGATGCACAGCCCTGGAGCTGCCGTGGGCTTTACAGGAATGACATTTTCAGCTGACATCAGATCTGAGTATTTGCATTGGATTTCAGTGGCAGCATCGGAGGTGTGGCTTAGCAGGGACACTGTTTCAGTCTTCTGATCCAGCTAAGAGGCAGCTCTGTCTGAGAAGATACTCGCTCCCCTCGTCTCTGCTATCCTGCTTGCATCTGACTCCTCCCTCCTGCAGCTCAGAACAGCGCAGGGTGAATCCAACAGCCTCTCATTTCTACTATGTTTCTCCCTGAGCTACTAGAGCTTGAACATACCTGATATTCTGCCTTCGTTTCACCTGAACTCGTGAGTAAGGCACGTTGCCTGATATCTGTCAAAAGTGAATGGCGTGTTATTACCTGAAGAGCCTGAATGAACCATTTTCCAATGCTGAAAGGATTATGAAGACTTGCATTTTTTTCAGCACCTTTGATACTTCCTTGTTGCCTGATTTTTCAAGAGCATGAGTTGTTCTGGTTATCAAGGGTACTTTCACCTGATTATTTCTTCATCAGATGCCAAAAAAGAGAGTCCAGGAAAACAAAGAAACTTGTGATGTGGAGCTAACAGTTCTGGTTTCAGCTAGTGAAAACTTGCAGAGTCAGTGAGAGGGCAAAAAAAAATTGCCAAGGACAATGTCGGTAACGCCTAGTAATTTGTCACTCAACGGGACGAGCTTCATCGCTGAAAATCATAACATTATGGATAAGCCTAGTGAGCAGAGAACTTTGAATGTCTTTCTGTTCTGCCTGACTTTTATCATAGCATTCACAGCACTTCTAGGCAGCATTTATTCACTAGTTTCCCTGCTGAAAATGCAAACCAAAACCTCAGTTTCAATGATTGTGACCTCTTTGTCAATAGATGATTTGATCAGCATTGTGCCAGTGATTATCTTCATGCTCACCCAGTGGTCAAGTGATGTCCTCCCCCAGCCTTTGTGCACCACCTCAGCGCTTATATATTTATTCCAGGGCATTTCTAGCAACCTGAAGGGGTGTCTTATAGTTTCCTTCAACTTCTACACCATCAACAAAACCGGGACGATGAGCTGCAGCACTTCCAAGCGACGAGTGAGCGTGGTATGGGCCATCCTTACCATCTGGATTGTCAGTTTGCTGATCTGCGTTTTGCCTCTCTGTGGTTGGGGCAAGTACATCCCCACCTCCTGGGGCTGCTTCCCAGACTGTGCCAGTTCCTACATCTTGTTTTTATTTGTTGTCTACTCGCTGTGCTTTTGCCTCCTCACAGTGCTGTCTGTTCCTCTAACTTACCAGCTGTTGTGCTCAGATGAGCAACAGCTACTGCACATTGATTACCAGGAAATCTCTCGAGGCTACATCACCCCTGGGACACCTGCAGGCTGCAGTGCTGCTACCCCACCTCTGTCACCGCTGGACCCTGTGGATCAAACCCTGAAGCATTTCCAAAACACGTGTGCAAGCTCGGAGGCAGTTTTTAGGGAAGGGGGGGCTGAGAGCGGTGCACTGGAGCCCCGCTGCACAGACAGCACACAGAGCAGGAGCTTCACCGTGGGCTTTGCTCAGAAACGATTCTCGCTGATTCTTGCGTTGACAAAAGTCATTCTCTGGCTTCCAATGATGGTAACTTGTCAGATTGCTTTACTTTCTAATGTTTAGTTACATTTAAATGGGATGTGAGTCACTGTGCTTTGTATTGAAAGAGATGAACAGTAGCCATTGGGATTGTTCTTTATAGTATAGTTTGTGCCAGCAAGTCCTTTTAAACAGGTCTGTGTCACTCCATGGATTTAACTGGCTGTCAGGGCGTTTGGCAGGGCCTGATTCATCAGTACTCCATCATCACCTCATCTGTATCCCCTGAATACAGGGACGAATTAGGGCCACCCTTTTGTATTGCCAGCTGACAGGCATTTCTTCAGCTTTATGGGCTCTGGGTCGCACTAAGCTAGCTCTCCTGCCCCTCCACACAGCTGTGAGTCATGTCCTTTGCCAGACTGGTTAAAAAAATGGGAGTTTTTAGAAAAAAATGAGGTTTGCTTGCATCTTTGTAATCTCGGTAGCACTGGGGGAGGGGGGAGGAGTGCTGTCCGTGTGTGCGCACTGGAGCATTTGGGAACAGGTACGTTCATGTGTAAGTGGAAAGGGGTCTGCTGAGAACAGGGAACACGGGGCTGGGGCGGTGTTACCCCTGGCCCGGGGGGTCTGTAGGCTCAGCTCCTGAACTTCTCTCCAGGGCCAGAGCGTGGCCGGGGTGGTGTGAGCTCTCTGCCCTGTTCCCCAGCAGGAGCTGGGCTTCCTCGGTACCATGCGGGAGGGACTGAGCTAACAGGCTCTTCTAAGTTGGTTGGATTGTGAGTTGTTCAATAGTGCTCAAGCATCTGTCTTCAGCTTAAGCGAGGGTTTTTCTGAGAAAAGGACAATGAGAGTCTCTGTCAGTGTGTTTTCTCCACTCTCTGTTAGAAACAAAATTGTTTGGCTCAGCAAACATTCCTGACAACCTGTGTCTTTTAGTTGTGTGATACTCATAGTGAGATGTTCTGTTTATTCCTGGAAGTATCTCGAGTGCCTGAAGCGATTTACTTTTCAAAATGCTCTGCTTTTCAGATACAAATGGTTGTCCAGCACATCACTGGTTATCAGAGCCTGTCGTTTGAGACACTTAGCTTCCTGCTGACTTTGCTGGCTGCCACAGTCACCCCAGTATTTGTCCTGTCAGAACACTGGATCCACCTGCCCTGTGGCTGCATCATTAATTGCAGGAGGAATTCCTATACAGTGTCTTCAGAAAAACTCAAAAGTAAGTATGGAAGGGTGACACGCAGCTGGAATGCATCTTGTAGTAAAGAGGATAGGACAGTGGTGTCAGTAACAGTACTTTGTGCTCCTTGAAATCATTTACCTGCGTTACGTAAACATTATTCAGAATAATATATGAGGCTTACAACGTTAATGTGAGAGCTGGATGGAAACAGTGGATGCCGAGGCAGAGAAGTTTGATTTTTCCCAGATCACTGTCAGATCTTTTAGCAGAAGCTGACAGACTCTGAATCCTAGTTTTGCTCTCCTCTCCCCCCCTGGTAAAGATGTACCTACTTCTACTACTCAAATACATGGACCATGCAAAACATGTTGTATGTCATGGAGAGAAAAACCATGCTAATCGCGAGCAAATGATAAGAAGGAGAGGAGCTATTGTTTGTACAGCTGCACTGTAGCTACTAACCAGAAATCACAGCAGCACCCAATAAACAAGTAGCCAAGGACGTGATTTATGGGAGGGGCCTGTATCTCAGTGTGCTCATGCGGCTTCTTGAAAGCTGGGGAACTCCTACACAGTTTCTGCCTAAAAATATTTCCCCGCATTTTTATTAAGTTTACCTTGGTGTAACAGAGGATGCCAGACCTTCACTGGTAACCTTCTTGGAATCTTCTGAAGCCCTGTTCTCCTCTGGGCCTCCCTGTACAACCAGCTGGAGGAATCCCTGCACATGCTGACTGCCACAGCCTGTCTCCTGCAGTTACGTGATTTTTGTTCTTTTCATAAAACTCTTGATCATGTGGTAATAGTCAGAGAAACAGAAGACAGAGCTATCCCTTCATGAAGTTATCTCTAGTGAAAAACACATCTAGGCTTCTGCAAACATGAACAACATTGTCATGTTTGTGGCTAAAAGACTGCACGATGCCTTCCTATAGACTCCCTGGCCACAGTGGCTTAGGAAGTGCGTCAGTCCCCAGCGGTCAGGTATCTGCACGGAGGGGTTGCGTTTTGAATTGCAAAGGAAAGGAAGTTTCCGTCGTTCTTCTGAAAGAAGTGGGTTTTATGAAAATGTTTTATAGATTCTTATTGTACCTACTAATGTAACTTCAGTATCTTTATTAGTGAAATTTACATTCATTACACACAAATTATGCATATATTTTTATGCATGTTTGCTTTCTGGGACAACTGAAAAGGACAACTGAAAAATTCAGTTGTTCAACAGTAAATGGAAATTATGGAAAGTTTGAAGGCTAGAAATCTGCCACAGGATATTAAAGACATCTGTATAAATACATCTGTATCTCTTAGATCTCTGTTAACATATAATAAATATGTTCTGGTAAAAACATCAGTAAGGAAGCCTACCAGGAGGGAAGATAGAGCAATAGCTGATTTTTTTGATTTGCGATCATAATTATTATCAAGAGTAACTTTAACAGAAAAATAATTTTAATTTCCTATTTATAATGCTGCAGTTATATTTGTGTATAAAAATGGTTGATTTAGTCATTAATCTCTCAGAAGTGAGAGTTGCAGTCCTAGAGTTTGATACAGTTGCTCCTGTACAAAAATTTCATTGTGTAAATACTTCAAATATCTTTTTTTACCATAGAATTCTGTTTTTCTTGCTTGACTATTGAAGGTAAGTTACAGATTCTCAGACATGTTTTGTCATTTTGTGCGGTTTTTCACCGTGAGGAATGTAGCTGAAAGAGGTTGTGAAAAAAAAAGAGTATTACAAAATTTAAATACTTTCTTCTCAAGTGTATCCCATACAACATCATATATCATGTGGTTTTGGAAATGGCAGCTAATCTGCAGTTTCTGGGAATCCATTAACTCTGGAATGTGTGAAGTTCTGAATGCATTAGGGCGGCAGTATAATAACTATCTGAGAAGCCTTTCCTCTCAGCAATTCGTTCTTTTTGTGGATTGGGAATTGTCTCTTCTGTCCGTAGTTAAATCTTATTCCATGTTTTAGAATGTCCTTTTCCTTGTGTATGTGACCTCATTTTTCTTCTTGGGTTTGACCCTCTTAACCCGATGTTTCTTCCCTTTCTGCTTAGCCAAACGCAGGGGTTTCGAGTTCAACCTGTCGTTCCAGCAAGGGTATGGAATCTACAGAATATCCCACGAAACCCAGCACCACCCCGACGGCGACGGGAAATCCGCCTCCTGCCACCACCTGCTGAGCTGCGGCCGCGGGCAGGCGCCGTTCAGCA